TTCATCACAGAGAAAGGAACTTATTATTACAAAGTTATGTCCTTTGGACTTAAAAACACAGGGGCAACTTACCAGCGCCTCGTCAACAAGATCTTCGATAAGATGCTGGGCAAAACAGCTGAGCTTTATATCGATGACATGGTGGTCAAAAGTGAAAAGAAAGAAGATCACCCTAAGCACCTTCAAGAAGTCTTCGATACTCTGAGAAAATATAATATGAGGTTGAATCCCTCTAAATGTTCCCTTACAGTTTCTTCAGGACAGTTCATCGGCCATATTGTTAACAAAAGAGGAATAAAGGTAATCCCGGCTCAGGCCCAGGCCCTAGTACAGAATCAGGAGCTGAAAACTCGCAGAGAAGTACAAATCCTAACCGGTAGAATAGCAGCTCTCAGTCGCTTCATATCCCAATTGTCTGATAAGTACAAACCTTTCTTTGATGCTATACGCTCGAAGAACAGAGACATATGGGGACCTCAGCAGCAAGAAGCTCTTGCTAGACTTAAGTACTACATGACTAAACCCCCTCTTTTGTGTGCCTCAAAGCCTGAAGAAGTCCTCACCATGTATTTAGCAATTTTCGACACAGCCACAACTGCAATTTTGATCCGAGAGGAAGGGGGGAATCAACATCCAGTCTACAAGCAAGACAACGATTGATGCCAAAACAAGATATAGCAAGGCAAAAAAGATCATAATAGCCTTAGTATATGCAAAAAAAATGTTTCGGCATTACTTTGAATCTCATCGCATAGTGGTCCTTACAAATTATCCTATGTGAGCTATCCTTTCCAAGCCAGATCTGTTAGGAAGAATTACACAATGGGCAATCAAGCTTAGTTCTTTCAACATAGCCTACGAGCCGAAAGTGTCACACAAAGGACAAACCATGGCCGATTTCCTCCTGAAGTATAAAAACAAGCCTGAAGAGCTAGAACTCCCAGAACCACAGTGGGAATTCCATGTTGATGGTTCCTCAAACTTGACTAATGCAGGGGAAGGGATCATCATCACAACTCTAGAAGGAACAAAGTTGCAACAATCAATCCATTTGGATTTTCCCGCCACCAACAATGAGGCCGAATATGAAGCCTTGCTAGCTGGGCTTCGGCTGGCACGCCAACTCGAGGTGAAGTGTCTAAAATTTTGTAGTGACTCACAACTCATTGTGAATCAAGTAACAAAAAAGTATTAACCAAAGGAAGAAAGAATGAAGGCTTACAAGGATGCTATCGAAAGTGTTACGCATGGATTCGATCAAATCGAATTTCACCAAGTACTAAGAGCAAAGAATTCTGAAGCAAACAGACTAGCTACCACGACTTCCTCCTCGGATGAAGATTTGATCCGAGTCGTGCCTATCGACACCTTGGAAGAACCTAGTTTAGGTCCTCAGTTGCCAGTAATGGTAATCCCAAAAATTCCAAGGGAGTCAAGCTGGATGGATCCACTGGAAAGCTATCTCAAAAATGGAATCCTTCCGAATCAAAAGGATGAGGCCAGAAAAGTAAGGTTTGCAGCAGTCAAATACTCCATCATTAATAACCGATTATTAAGGTTTGCAGCAGCCAAATACTCCATCATTAATAACTGATTATACCGAAAGTCATTCTCAGGCTCGTATTTGAAGTGCTTAACTCCCACGGAGTCCCTTAAGGTATTAAAGCAGGTACATGATGGGGACTGCGGCAACCACTCCGGCGGAAGAGCCTTCGCCCATAAAATTTTAACTCAAAGTTATTTCTGGTCGTACTTGGCTAGAAACACCGAGGAATATGCCAGGAGGTGCGACAAATGTCAACGCTATGGCAAATCCATGGCCATTCATTCACTGAGGAATAGATATAGTAGGTCATTTACCCAAAACTCATGAGCAAAAGGAATACGTGTTATTCGCCACGGATTATTTTACAAAATGGGTGGAAACAGAGGCCTATTCAAGTGTGACTCACGAGCAAGTGAAAAGCTTTCTGTGGAACAATATAATCTGCCGATTTGGAGTACCGAAGGTCATCATGATGGATAACTGAAAGAACCTGGACAACAGGAGCACAATGAGGTTCTTTGCCGAGCATGGAATCAAACAGAAGTTGGCAGTAGTAAGCCATCCACAGGGGAATGGACATGCTGAGATAACTAATCGGACCATCTTCGACTGTCTGAAAAAGAAACTGGAAAAACTCAAGTCTAAATGGTACGAGAATCTTTCCAATGTGCTCTGGGCTTATCAAACCACTCGACGAAGGCCAACAGGGGATAGTCCTTTTGTAATGGCTTATAGGTCCGAAGATGTCATCCCAACAGAAATAGCAATCCCAACTCTTCGGACACACTTGCTACTCGAATGGAATAATGATCAGCAGCTTAAACACAGCCTTGACCTCTTGGAAGAAAAGAGTGATGCTGCAGCAATTCGACTCGCTTCATATCAACAGCAGTTGCGAAACAGTTACAACAAGCGAGTTAGGTTCAGAAGCTTTGTAGTAGGAGATTAGGTGCTGAAGTAGGAGACAGCACACGTAAAGAAATTGCAACCCAATTGGACTGGACCCTACTGAGTTACGAAAGTAATGGGGAATGGCTCTTACAGGCTAACTGAAGCTGATGGGCGAGTGATTGCACGCCCATGGAATGCAATACACCTCAAAAGGTACTACCATTAGAAAACTTCGTCAATTTTTCTATGTTTCCTTTTACGAATAAGGCTTTTATGGCCCACATAATAAAATTTCTTATTTACTACATCTTTTTACATCCTCTTTTGTAAATTTATGATGTAGTGCTACTCAAAAAGATAGAGAGCATTGGATACACGAGCAATCAATAGTTCCGTGTATCCAACGATCTTCATTACCATATGAGGTCATTCCCACCCACACAAATATATTGATATTTTTGCTATTTTCTATTCGATGTGGGATATTTGTTTCTTAATTCACCAAAAAAAAATTTGTAATCGGGGGCAAAACCAATACCCTAAATAGATATTACGACAAGGAAATTTTCTCTCTTAAAAAAATATATATATATATATGAATGTTGTCCCACATCGATAAAAAATAACTTTAAACATTATGTAAGGAAAAATTAAAGTATGCAAGCATGTTGCAAAGTGGGCCTACTGGTAACAAAAGCGGCCCAACACGAATTGTGTTTAAGCCCTAGTACCAGCGGACATTCTTTGCCAATAATTCTCTATTTTTAAGCCAACACGAATTGTGTTTAAGCCTTTGTACCAGCGGGCACTCTTTACAATAATTCTCTATTTTTTAAGCCTAAAATATTTGACCTAAAACTTAACTCTATTTTTTGTCCACATTAACTAAAAATAAAAAGAGTGTATAATTAATATAACCATATCGTACTGTAAATAAATGCCATAAAACGAGTCTTCGAGACAAATAGATTCCCAATCACATGTATGGAAGGTTACATAGTCTCGGTGACTCTTTTTCATGGTCTCATCCTCTTTTAAAGTTTCGGACCTCAAGAGTTCATAAGCATATCCCATTGCCCATCAATTTCAAGCTTCAAATATCAATGATCTGAAGATATTAAACAATTCCTCTAAGGCATACACTATTGCTGAGGAACTCCATGCTTCGGACCTTAAGAGCCCGAAGGTATCAATAAAATTTCTCTAAGACATGCACTATTGCTGAGGAACTCCATGCTTCGGAACTCAAGAGTCCGAAGGCATCAATAAAATTCATCTAAGGCAAACACTATTGTCGAGGAACTCCATGCTTCGGACCCCAAGAGTCCGAAGGCATCAATAAAATTCCTCTAAGGCATACACTATTGCCGAGGAACTCCATGATTCGGACCTCAAGTGTCCGAAGGCATCAATAAAATTCCTCTAAAGCGTACACTATTGCCAAGGAACTCCATGCTTCGAACCTCAAGAGTCCGAAGGCATCAATGAAATTTCTCTAAGGCATACACTATTACTGAGGAACTACATGCTTCGAGCCCCAAGAGTCCGAAGGTATCAATAAATTCCTTTAAGACACGAGGAATTACGTACTTTGGCCCCAAGAGTCCGAAGGTGTTAATAAATAGTCCTGAATGGGGACAAGTACTCTTCATAGATATCTTCCTCTCAAGCCCATGAAGTTGGTCGAACTTGGCTAAATCCCTTGTACAAGTTGTCCCACATCGAAAAAATACAAGAGCAAGAAAGGCATTGATATACTCATACCTTAAGCCAACACATAACAAGAAGGGTTCCCTTGATAGGTAAATCACCGAGTGATACAACAATCTCCAGTTCGTGACTCGGTTATCATGGGAACTCTCTTCTTATTACTTATCATTTTTTATGTCCTCGGACCATAACAAGTCCAAGGGCCCCAAAGAAAACGAATTCTTCTCAAAGGCATGGAAAACTGCTCAAAATATATATATATAACTTGGAAATACTCAAAGATATGGAAATCCTCCAAAAGATATGTCAAATAAGAAAATTAAAACAACCATTGTTCACAAACAAAAGTATACTAGTTCAAGACAAATATTACATTAATTCACTTCCTTTTGGGATCAAAAGAAGTAGAATCAAAAGTATCAACCACATTTGGGCTTGAAGCTGGAAGAATTGAGGAGCTTGGAGCTGGAGTGTCCCCTTGGTGAGACTTCACCATCTCAGCGAATAAAACCTCAGCTTCTTGGGCCTTCGGACCCTCAGCATAAGGAAAGGACACCTCCATATCTGCATCAAAAGCATCCGAGTCCTTTAATTTATCGCTTGAACCTTGGGCAAAGCCGAATCGGAAGGCCTTTGCACTAGACAAGCGCACTAAGGAGGAATAACGCTCCTGCATCTGCTTCCTAGCGGTGGTACAGGTGTTAACCGCATCCCTCCAGCGAAGATTCTCAGCCTCCAGTTCATTCATTTTGGCTTTAGCAGATGCAAGGTGACCATTGTATACATCCCTCGCGTCATAAGCCATTTTTACATCCATATGCGCATGGGAGAGCTTCTTCTCAGCCGTAGCTAGGTCCTTTTCCAGTTTCTGGATGGAAATTGACTAAGTTTCTACAGTCGCACACAAGGCCATGGTGTGATACAGATTCTACATAATCAATAATGAAATGAGTAAAATGAAAAGGTAAACAAAAGAATAATGAAGGGAAGAAAGAGGACAAACCTCCATGGTGCGAATAGGGGCAGAAGGAAGCAGCTGCTCTAACCCTATGTTACCTATAATTTCCTCAACCTTGGGTAGCCATATCCCTCGGGCAATTGTTAATGCAGCAGAAGGATTTGTGACTATTGAGTCCCCATAATGAAGAACTGACTTGTCAGCCCTAGAGAAAGTGGGCCTCCATGGTTCTCCTGCTTCTCTGCCAGGACAAAAGCCCTAACCTCTTCCTCAGGATCGGCTTCATCAGTTTTTTTCCCTCTACTCTTTGAGAAGGTAATGCCCTTGTTCTTGGTTGTTGAAGAAGGGTTTAATTTGAGTTTTTTCTTCAGAGGAAGTTCTTCAACTTCCTTTTCTTGCTCAGTAGAGTGTATAACTACAAGGGGCTCTCCCTCTACTGCTTTCTTCTTGAGAGCTTCAGCCCTCTTCTTTTCCTCGTCGGTGAAAGGAAAATTATCGAAAGAAGGGAATAACAAATCCATGAGGTCAGCAGATGAAGCACTAGAAGCAAGTTCCTTTAAATTGGATGAAGAAATGAGGTCCTCAGCAGAAGGAGGGTTATTCCAAACTTGTTCTTCTAGAAAAACGAGCCTTTTCCTAGCTACAGAAGATGGGAACGTTGCTGAAAAAACATCAAGAAATTCGTAAATATGACAAAAAGTAAAACTTGATATGTGAAGCAGCCAGAACATTTTTTATGAAGAAAAAGTAAATCTTCTATACCTAATATCTCAAATTTACGGGGAATAGGAAGTTTACTTGATTGAGATAGAGACCAGTTCCCCTTAACAATAACCATCATCTCTTTCCATCTCTTCTCGGAAGTGGGGAGGTCGGTACATATCCTCGGTTGAAGAGAGGAAGTAAAATAATAACGGCCAAGCTCGGTCTAATGTCTGGAAATAGTGTAGATGATCAATAAGTTAGCGACAGTCAAATCAAGACTCTCCAGTCTTTGACATATAAAAAGTGCCGACACTATTCGAAGAAAGTTAGGGTTTACTTGAAGAGAAGCAATACCTAACTTGTTGAAGATTAAATGATAAAAGGGATGGAGGGGAAAGCGAAGGGCATTCAGATGGCTAACAGATAGAAGCAACTCATTCTCACCAACCCCTTCACCAGAACTGAAATCGGCGTTATTAGGGTATTTAGCAATTTCTCCCCCCTGGAGAATCTCAAATTCTTCCATTACGAAATCAATAGTGAACTTGATACACCGGACTGACAAAATCATCTCTCTCTCTCTTTGTAAAAATATCATCTGATCCAGAAGTGGATACCACTGCTTGAGGCATAGAATCATCTATTCGCACAATAGAATCGTTCGTATACTCAAGAGGGTTGGAAACCTTAGGAGAAGGAACTCTAAGAAAAACAAGAGATGACGACGGTGTGGTTTCAGAATCCATAATTTCTATGTGACCGTGAGTAGATGAAGTACTCATGATACAAAATCAGAAAAAGATAAATGAAGAACTAACCTAATATCACGACAAAGCAATTGGTGCAGTGAAGGCAAGAGTAAGCTTTCAAGGAGTCCTTTGGTCAGAATGTCAATGGTCACTTCTCGAACAGTCTCTTGCAAAATTGGCAACCGTGCAACTTTAATTCCCTTCTAATTAGGAGCCGTAGTTCAATTTAAGAGAGAATTGGAGGCAAAGTGTGGAGGGAAAAATCTCCCTCCAATAAGAATCATCCACATCATTTAAATGAGGTATATCTCATTGGATCTCTAACAGCCCATCAGAACCCAATTTCGATCAAGCCTAAACAAAGTTGATATCGATCCAAGGTTGCTAGTGTTAACCTCTCAGCCTGCTAAAGATCCATCCGGCCCATTTACATCATAACCGAGTCCTCTTTATCAAAGGATTCTTCGTATAAGGAAGTTCTGCATGGGAAAAGTCTTGTATGGATAGAATTATAGAAGGAAAGAACTTCATAAATAAAGAATTATATATGGAATGAATTAGGGGACAAACAAGGCGAATCCTACCATAATTCCACTATCTTTTTGTATATAAAAAGAGGCATAAACCTCCAAGCATTACAAGCTTCTCTCTGAATTATTCTTATTATTAGTTGTTATTTATTTGAGTGAATTGTAATTATTCTTTTAGCTTTTTAGATAAACGAATTATTTGTGCCTACAAGAGAATTCCTCAATCAATCAGTAAAATTATAATAACAATGGAGGGTATTTTACTCTTTAACATGAATTTCCATTGTCGGCAACATTGGAGGGAGGTTGGTATAGTTTTTGAAATGTTAGGAATCGTGTCTGTAATTAGGCCCAACCTCAAGGGAGGTAAGTGATATTTTCCCCATTAAGTAAATAACTTCATTGTCGATTACTCAAACATAAATTCATATTGATTTTAGGCTCCGTTTGTTTGGATATAAAATATATTTTTTTATTTTTTTTCTGTATACAAAAAATATTTTTCAAAAAACAATTTTTTTATTTTATGGTGTTTGGTTGCCGTAAAATATTTAGGAAAAAAATAGATATTAAAATCTAACAAAAATAGCTTATTCATCAATTTTTGGCAAATTATTTTACACATGGGCCTATCATGGACTTGACCTACACCTTTGCTAAACACACAGAAACAATAAATAAATAAATATATATATATATATATATATATATATATATATATATATATATATTAACTGAAAAAGGACAATCTTTACTTAGGAAAATATTTTACGTTCGGAGTAAATTATATTTATTCAGCAAATAGCTTCTGAGAAATATATGATGATGATCATGGGATTAAACTCAAGGGCTAAATGCAATAAAAAAAGCCAGTGGCTAGTGACTTTACCACAGAGCAGAGAAGGCTTGATGAAGTAAGATGAACATGCAGCGAAAATGAAATAATATGGTGTTCTAGGATTAAATTCTAGTGAAAAAACCTTGGCAGGATGGAAAGGAACTGAAGGATACAAATTTAACAGAACATGGAAGGTGGAATGACAATATTTTGTTCCCCTTTCTTTGAAAAAACAATTGACAGAGAAGTACATACACGAGAAGATGCCGAAGCAACACTTGCTCCACCAGAATCACCAACTACTTTCAAACAGCTTATCCGGTCTCGGTAAAGGCTCTTGTCGTGCTATCGGTACCAAAATTTTTGCTTCCCAATGGTCAGGTCCCAGTTCAATGTCACTTATTTTTGACACTAGATTCTTGCTTAGAATAGTTCCTATTGTGGCAATAGGAACTATTCTAAGTAAGAATCCATTGACAAAAGTAGGGTTTCAGAACTCAACAAGAGAACTTCAATCAGACCCTGAACCTGCAGATATAAAAAGAACATATATCAACATACTTGACAACCTGATTTTACCATTGTACCAAACAACGAGTCTTAAAGTCAGGGTGTCATTGCAAGTGATACAACTGATGAGAAGAAATGAGATCGTGAAGGATGTCTAATGGCTACGATTTTGTTTTTTCTTCTCCTTCCTACAATAAATTATTATAATTTTTAGATAAGAGCAATAGAATTGCAGGAACTAACATCATTATTTGCATAAGGAAAAAAGATGAAGTAAAAATAGAAGTGTCACCATTTTGTATCTAAATAGGTGATGGTGATTTTGAGTCTATTTAATTTCCTTCCCATACATGGACTTTTAGTTCACAAGTCTTCTTTTGTTGTATGCATTCTCTACTCGTATTAGAAATACTACTACTTTAATTTATCTTACCCATCTCTCTCATGATCACTTTTTTACATGGCAGCTTTCTTTTTGGTCATTGTACTAATGCTAGGAAGCAATTAAGAGAAGGAATTAAGTCCCAATTAATAATAGAAAATCCGAGAATTATTCGCACCAACAGAAGGAAAAAGGAAAGTGTAGGAATACAAGATAAGCATACAAAAGATTATTTATTTGATCAGCTTTTTGTTGCATATAATTTCCGTGAAATTTCCGGCTAAGAAAGGCAGCAGCCGGCTATATCAAGTAGACTTGGATTTATCAATTCTAAAATTAAACCTGGAAAATTTGGTCCCGCACCTGTAAATTATTTTGACAAACTTGCTCAACGGTATTAGATTTGGTGCATATATATAATTAACAAATACCACAATGAAGTTTTATAACAGCATGTTAACAAAACAATAAGCAAGGCTATGAAATATCTGTAAACAGCATATATTCATTGAAGCCATGATCTAAAAAATACAATTCTCTCTTCTTGAGGTAAAAGACCAGCAAAACAGTCAATTTCCAGATCATTTAAATTCTTCCTGAAAGCAAATAGGTAGTAAACACCTTATATATCCTAACCAAAGTCTAAAACTAAACAGTTACAGGTAAACACACGTTGGAGTCAGCCATAACATTGAAAATAAATGATGTAAAATATACCTTAGAGGATGGAACAACACGTTTATTTGAAGAGGACGATGATCTTGCATGTTGTGGTGCTTGAGAAGTTCCGATCTCGTTATGAACCTATGAAAATTAAACAATTTAACAAACTAAAACCTTTTACAAATAGACAATATAAATGATGTTACTTGTTGGGAATCCAAAGAGTTTAGAAGGATGAGGATATGATTTAGTAGAACCTTGTCGGTCTGAGTTATTAGTGTGCTTTTCCCCTTCCAGTCGTGCAATCTTCTTCATCACTATCTGCATCTGCTCTTCATTGGATTCCCTTCTCGCCTCGGAAGCAGTCCTCATAATTTGAATGTGACTAGGTCTTCTGCCCCACAAATACATGTCTTTTTTCTCCCATAACTCAAGAGAATAAGTCATCCCTAGCTACAGCAGATTGTGTTGGTTGCTGGCTTGCTCATTCTTTGAACTGATTCTGCAGAACCATAGATCATAGCCCCATAAATATTGTCGCATTTCCTTCATTAAGGCTATGTAGCTTGTAAACAAAATTATCCATTTTATTTCAGATTCAAGGACTAAAACATAAAGGCATCAAAAGTCAGGGTAGCTGCAGATTGACGAGTAAAAATGGAAAAGATTAGCTGCAAATGAGTTCTATATCGCTAAGATTCAACTTACAATGATAGCTGCAGATGCATCATCCATAGGCTGCCCATTCTTCTGCTTATGGGTAATTACATACATATCTGCCCAGCTTAAATCATCTCCATGAGACCTCTTTTAGACCATCCTCAAATAAAATAGAAAACATTCCAGATCTCCTTCAAACTTGAATCCACAACAACATATAGTACTGAAGTATGCTACATAGGAAATAAAATATTACCTCTTCATCATGCAACCGTGCAAAGCTTTTTGATCCAGCGGTATGTGTAGTGGGTTGCTTGGCACGATTTACCTTGTTTGTAGAATTACGCTTCTGTAAAACAACATAAAATTCAAATTAAAGCACAAGTGACTAGAAGAAGAAGAATATCAATCATACTATTATTCAAAGCCTATGCAGCCTAAAACCAATGCAAAAACAGAATCAGGTAAGTGCCATAGAGCAAGGAGAAACAAAAAATATAGTTTTTTATAGAGTAAGGTAAAATGAAGTTTACTGGAAAAGAGAAGGAGAACCACAAGAGAATCCCAACAACCCACACCAGGGAAGACACTTTTTTATACGTTAATTATGCATCTTAATACCTCCAGCTCACAATAAATAAATAAATAAAAGGAGAAAAAATGCTACCCATGAAGAGAGTGCCTCTAAGAGTAGTTCAATCTGTTATTTGTAATGCTAAGTCATAGTCTACCTTATTATTCTTGACACAACACAACCTGAAGAAATCCAGATTCTTGTGCTTTTACACAAAGCAAATTGCATTCTGGAACTTTAATTTTAGCTAGAGTACTTTTACTCTTATTGTAAAAGGGGTTAACATAGGGGCTATTCAAATAAGAAGAAGAAAGACACTTTTTTATACGTTAATTATGCATCTTACTACCTCCAGCTCACAATAAATAAATAAATAAAAGGAGAAAAAATGCTACCCATGAAGAGAGTGCCTCTAAGAGTAGTTCAATCTGTTATTTGTAATGCTAAGTCATAGTCTACCTTATTATTCTTGACACAACACAACCTGAAGAAATCCAGATTGTTGTGCTTTTACACAAAGCAAATTGCATTCTGGAACTTTAATTTTAGCTAGAGTACTTTTACTCTTATTGTAAAAGGGGTTAACATAGGGGCTAATCACATATTTCAGTTAATGCATATGATTGAATGGTATATATTTTACAAATTACAACTTTTAATACAGTAGATAATACGATAATTCTGCATTTCTTCAGTTCAATCTAAACATGCATCAAACAGCATGTATCAATTCTCCCTTAAAGTCCAATTAGGTTTTCCTTGGATCCTTGGGTATGTGGCTAACTGCAGAGCAGTAGTTCTCAAGTTCCATGTCCAAGGGCAAAGGGGAAAAAATATAAGATTGCAAACTAATGCCAATTTGCTCTGAAGCTGACCATGTCTGGTATCAAATTTACAGCTAACCACTACTTAACTCGCTTCAATTTCATCTCCTTGTGATATTCAAAAGAGGGAAATTTTTAATAGTCTTAGGATAGATATAAACAAATCTTCCAGTAAATTAATATTTACCACAAATATTTACAACTGAACAGGAGACAAAAACTCCATGACAGAACAGTAGATACTTGAGGGTAAGATGAAAAGAACAAAATACAACCAAAGGCTGTAGCCTAGTGGTACTTCCTCACCTTCCAAAGTAGAAGGTTGAGTGTTCAAGTCCCCATAGGGGCATGTGAGTGTGTGAGTATATTTCTTAACAATGAAAAAATATAGATATATAGATATGAAGATATATACCTTCTGGAGAGGTTATAGCTCATGAAGTTTAGGAGTAATTAGCAGTGAACAGTTCAGATTCTTCTCCAATTCACTAATTCTTCTCTCCTCATCTGCAATAGGGAATTAAAAATTATAAGTAAAAAAAAAAAGGCCAATGCCTCAAAAAAATTAGTTAAACAGAAGAAAACAAACGGTTGCTACATTAATCAAGCAGATTAAATTATCTCAAATCAAGGTTAGTATTCGAAATAACAAGATCGCATTATAGTTGATGTACAGTAAATTAACATAGGTGTTAGAAATAAAAATATCATAACAAGATTAGCAACTATATTAATCCTTTTTTTCCAGGTGTGCCTATTGTGATCCCATTACTCTACCCTTTTTTCCAGCTAGAGTGCTTTTATTTGGGAGTTGTAAAATAAAACTCGAACAATGCTGAAACATGAAAACAGAATAGTAAATAGTAGTGCAAGATGGTCTACCAAAATTTCTGACACACACTAATGTACAAACATACACACATGTGGATGTATTATAGAGAGAGACTCACCAGTCACCACTTCAGTGGCAGTGTAAGTTATTTTTAAGTTACGTATAATACTAGTCAAAATCATTAACAAGCACAAACATATACATGTATACATATATTATATATACAAGTGTATATACACACAAACGGTTCGATTTCTGCTAAATCCACTCAACTCAATCAATTTTTATAAGCATCGAGTCCTCACACACTCAGATCTGTACACACTTCCAAAACAAAAAACAAACCAAAAACGAGAAAAAACTGTTAACAGTTCGATTGCTGCTAAATCATCGGAAGCGAACTTGAAAAATCCGAGCCTTAATTTGGGGCTAAAAATTGGTGTTTAACATCCCAATTTTCTCTTACTTTCCTATGGTTCTCATTCAACCAAACAGATCGTAGAAGAATTAGAAGAAACCTATAAAATTATTGATCCACAGAGAGAGCGATACAGACAGAGATTAAAGTTGAGAGACATTTACCTGGGAACAGTCAGAGTCTCAGTGATCGGCCAACAATTTCGAGAGGATGCGTGTTTCCTTGTTAGAAATCAGTAATGTTAGAGAGAGAGAGACAGTATTTTAGAGAGAGAGTAGCTGTTAAATGTGTGTTTGGATGGATTTGAAGGACGAAAGAGAGCTGTATTGAACCCAGCTCAATTGAGAGGGAGAGAGAGCGAAATCAGACATGAAAGGAGAAGAAACCAGAAAAATTTGTACATGGTGTCGACTAATTACAACCCCACACGTAATTAAAAAATTAAATAAAATTAACACATTATCCATTTATCTAGTTATTAATTGGTCGGAATATGTAAAAATCTCTAAAGAAAAAAATTGAGACTTTTGGTTGATTAATAAAAGAATAGAAAGAAAATGATAGTAATAATGGGAAAAGGGATGAAAGGAAACTAATGTAATAATATTATTTTTCATAAAATATTTCTATTACAGATATAAAGGCAAATTTGGTATTAAAAATATTAACTTTATTTCTTTTCCTTCCATTTTTTGAATTTGAAAGATAACAAAAGTTGCTGTTTATACTTTTGTTTTTCATTTCAAACACCTCCATTCCCTTCCCTTTCCAACCAATATTTTGTACCAAACATAATCTTTTATTTTCTTCTATTTTCTTTCTTTCCTTTTCTGTTCCTCCCATATTCATTGTACCAAACTGAGCCCTAAGACAATGGGCACAGCAATGAGAGAGGGAGGGAGAGTTGAAAGAAAAAGTTGATAATATAATCGGATAAAAAGTAATAAAAATTAAAAATGGTGTGCTGTGTTCTCTAAACAGTAAATAGTAAGTTGCTTGAAATTACACGCAAATAAAATTAATACATTAGTTTGTATATCGAATTGTAATTAATTAAAATAATATAATTTCGTAGCTTATGATAATTTTTTTATTTGAGACTCACTAAATTTTTGTCACCATCGACAAATTTTCTTGTACTGTGCCTTGCAGCTAAATTGAAAGTCGCATTTGTGATCCGCGGATTGACTTTTCCAGACTAACGGTCACTTTTGTAGCTATGGACTCCTGTTTAAGTTGCGTTGGAGCTTTAGCTCGTTGAACCATTATATGTGTTTTTTTTAGGGCTCCTATTTTATTTATTTATTTATTTTTAAAGTTCTCAAATTTTATTCTTTGTTTGATACTAGTTTGATTCAATTTAAGGAGTTCAAGCTAAGGAAAAATCAAGAGTATGTTCGGTTTGTAATTCAAAGAATAATTTATTAAAATTCAAAAGACAGAAAATTATTTCCGAATAATTATAAAAATAACTCTCAAAACATGTCATTTTATAACGAAATTTTCAATCAAATTGAATTTTTGTACTTTTTTTTAATTTTCAGTTCTTTGAGAATAAAAAATATAAACCCAAGAGGCCCTAAGTTCTTTTATTTTTTCACTCGAGTTTGGTGTTTCAGAGAATGCAAGGACTTGGCATTCTTGTCAATAATTTTTATAAAGATAAATTACACTGATATCCTTAAAGTTAAATTATATTTCAACTAAATAAAGATTTTGATTTCAACTTGCACTTACATCCCAATATGCTTTTTGACATCTAACACATGCGAATTAATCATTTTATTCTTAATTTTTTAATACAAAATATATATAATTTTAAAAGACAAAAAAGCCCCTATTCTCTCTCCATATGGATTTTGAACTCGTTGATGCATAAAAAAGTTTCGCTAGATTTTGAACACTTTTTTCATATCTGTTTGGGATTAAGCCATATCTGTCAAATTCTGGATTTGACATTTCAAAGTCTCCCTCAAATGTCTGATTCCATATATTGGGTGTCTTATGAGTGCGTTAGGTGCATCTCACACCAGTGGAAAGTAATGATGTTTTGCAATAATACTAATCACCTGGCCGGAAAGGAAAATTATTTTCAGATCCGTGAAAGCTTAACCCTCCTAAGGAGTCCAGAATACAATAAGGAAAATAATACATTGCATAAACTATGAGGTCAAAGGATTACTTAGTCATTTAACACCTAAAAAATATTCTGACTCTTCAAAATTTGATATTTGGGGTGTAAGTAAAATGTTAAATCATTGATTCAAATATACGTGAAATCTAAAACAAAAATCTTCATCCGGTTGAAAAATGACCTAATTTCAATTTGCCTTTTTTTTCTTATATAGCAGCATATGCTTTCAATGGTATCATATGTTTGCCTCCAATTTTGTTAGTTTTAAATTAATATTTAAAAGTTAAAAATCTTGAATGGGCAATTATCAAAAATAAGATCAGCATATGCAGGCCTGCCTTAATATATGTTTCTGAGAAAAATCATGATTGTGAGATGAAGACTAAAAAACCAAATTTTTGGTCATCCATTTGTGTGCGTGAGAGAGGGATGTTCCACTTTTTGCACAATGTAAACCTTACTGTTCATAACTACGAAATGGACATTACCAAGAAACAGATTTCTTTGGCGAATCTTATTCCAGTAATTTTCATACAATCATTTTGCTTGAATGAGCTTTCAATAAAATGTTTGTATACAGATTAAAACACGATAAAGTTGGTTCATTGTTATTTGAAGATTATGGTACGAAACACGAAAACAATCTTTTAAAAGTTAAAGACTGTATATATCTTACCCTTTTCAGACCCCGGCAGAGTATGCTGTTTTTAAGTAATTAAATAGTTTGGCTTATCCAGTTATCAATATCCCATTCGTCCCTATATCCTTCCGGTTGAGAACTAGTAGCAAGCTTCCAAATTTGTACGTATAACCTTTTTCTCTTCTCCTCCAGAGGTGGTATTCCCACTTGAGCAGCCAACCAGTCCATGTACTCAAACTGCCATCAAACCATGAAATATATTTATATATATATAAATATATATCCATGCATATATGTCTAGAGCCATCAATGTCTATAACAACTTTTCAATACTTGTCAACTGGGGAATGAAATTTAAAAGTGAAGAGTACAACAAGAATGGCAACTGGGGAATGAAAACCTCATGTGGATAAATTTGATGGGTATAGTGCTTGGGGATCCCGGATTCCTCCATATGCCGGTAAAGTTTTTCAACATCAGCCAGCATCTCCTCCTTGGATGGCAGAGACACCTTACCGGATAAAACTGGCGCTATCCACTTGGATTGTAGCTCCAGCAAAGGAAATACAATGGCCTAATAATTATTGTAAAGAAAAAATTCCGCTACATAATTTACCATAAATTTCATAGTTGCTTGCTTGAATCGACACGAAAAAATCAACAATTTGAAATGGAACAACTGACCTTAAAAGGTATTCCAACAAAGGAGAGCCAAGGACCAAGCTGGGGTGGGAAGACATGCTTATAAAGTGGTCCGATACGGTTGTCATCGATTGTCACAGTTCCATTTGTTTTCAGAAATGGAACATGGTATTTGTACCTTTATACAAACATATAAGAGTCATCCATGAACAAGCCAATGAAAAGATAAACTAGTTCGGAATTGATATATACCCAGTACAATGAAAAATGACATCAGCTTTAACAGAATATCCCTCTTCAAAAGTTATCGTACTATCTTCATAGACATAATCAATCTATAACAAGATTAAAATTCATCATTTCACATCTTGAAATGCTTTTATTGAAAATAAATAAATAAATAACAGATATATACATATGATTTTGCAACATGATGTTATTGATGATTTTAAGTAATTGACGTCTTTGAAGAGTGTTGTATAAATATACAAATTTCATGGGATGTCCAAGGGAACATATATATTAGTACCTTTGAATGCTGCCATATATTGTCGCAGTTGTCTAATTTTGAGACTTTAACACTAGGGGATCTTGATGAAAGATGAACTTCTTTGGCAACTTTAGCAATATCTCTGGATATATCAATCGCACTAGGCCCAGCTCCAACCATAACCACAATCTGTAAGTTGGAATTTTTCAGGGAGTACTTGCAACAATTAAATAGATCGAATTACAAGTATAAGAACTCTATTTGGTGTGTGTGCTAATTCCACTAACGTCATTATCATCCTCGTCTTAATATATTAATCTCACGTCAATAGGATCCGCCATGTGAATTATCTCTCTCCAACCAAGCACGGTCTTATGTGGTGTTCAATTTGAAAAACTTAATTGTGTGGGTTGTATTAGTGGCTTAGCTATCACCAACTGATTAGATACTGACACGTACTGATAGGATCCACTAAAATAAAATATTTTTACTTATGTAACATTATATAATTAGTTGATGGCACAAATAACTAATTATTAAAGGTGCAGGAAAGTCTTTCTCGTGTCCCACTGATTTTTTTTTTATTTGCATTATGTACCTTTACATTTTGTAAAATTTTAAAAATGCGCCCATTGAAACTATGAAAAAACTTCAATAGCACCCTCTTTTAACAAAATTTTTGGGTTCATCAAGGTCTCCAACCTTTTCTAGTACATGTCATTTCATCTATTATATTTTAAACATTTTAAGATTGCTTTTAAGAACCAGATACTATCTTGTTTTGAAGGTAATTTAATTTTCCTAGAATTTTCAAACCACAAAACGTGGAAATAGCAGAGTAACATACCTGATTCCGAAATGGTTCGGGAACACGGTAATTGTGACTATGTACTTGGTTTCCTGACCATTTCTCAATGCCTGCATACATATGAAAATCATTTTTATTTAATTTTTTTTTAATGGGTTTTTTTAATTAAAAAAAGACTACTCCTTAAACATTCTATATATACAGGAATGTATTCTATCCGGACAGTTGTTATTGCACAACAAAGAAGTAGAATTCTTTAACGCATAAATCACATTCAATTTCAACTTGGGTGGCATATTTTTGGTTTTTTTTTTTGAAAGGTGGAGTCAATTTATTAAAATAAATAAGGATAGTAGGCCTAGAGATTAGACCAAGATACAACGGACATTACAATGAGAACTGGCTTTATTTTGTTGACTAGCTTTATTTTGTTGTTTTGACAGTTGGGTGCGTCCAATAAACCTTCAAGCCTTAACCTTCAACGACAAGATATATAATATATTAATTTTTGTCAACTTCAATGCAGTGTGTTATGCATTACCTCTTATCTGTGTGTGTAATTATTATTATATATATATATATATATATATAATTGAGTTATTAGATGCAGACTGAAAGTATAAGATCACATATGAGCTATGTTACAGAAACTATGCCAATGTAACTTATTGGAAATTAAAATGGCATTATAAGGTCAACTTATTATTTTAAATGCATTAAGATTTTTTTAAATTAGTTGGTTAATTCATTGGCTTCACTACTTCATATTTTATATATATACACACACTTATCCTATATATATACAGTACATACATGCATATAGATTGAGTCATAGTAGTTGTATGAGATAAGAAACCTTATCGGAAAAAAAATAATAAAAAAAAAAAAAACAGAGCATAGAGTACCTGGAAGATTTGCTAACCGTGGTTCAGTGAAGTGACCATTACACACTACTACTGCCTCGAAGGTATCCGCTGAACTCAACCCACTCGTCCTCGACTCAACGATCCATTCGTCATTTCTTAAGTCAAGCTGCTCAACTTTGACCACTTCAGAATCAAACCGAATCAACTCAGTGAGTCCAAAGTCCCTGGCAAAATCATTCAAGAACCGGAGCACCTCCTCATGCCCAGGAAAATTCCTCGAATCCCCATTTTTCCCAACAGTAAACGGATAGTCCGAGAAACCCATCACGTGCCGAGGAAGATTGGTTCGGAGCGACTGGTATGCACTGCTGTGAACGATCTCTCTGTTCGGGTCGAGTCCGAGTGGATCGGACTCGACTCGAGAGTCGTAGACCCATGTTCCACCGAGTCGGTCTCCTTTTTCGTAGACGACGACTCGGTGGCCTTCACTTTGAAGTTCACGGGCGGCGATAAGACCGGCGGCACCGGCTCCGATCACCGCCACTTTCAAAGATCGTGCCATCTCTGTCTCTTGCCTTTGTTTTCAAAGAAAGTGGGTGGAGAAATTACTAGATGACTTAAACTTTATATCATAATATAGATTTTTATTCAGTGGAATATGATTAGTATACATGTGGCTTCACAGGCCATACCATCTCTATTATTTTATAAGGTAAAGGACAGCCACATTTCTTAAATTTGACAAAAGAATACTAAAAAGAAACTTATCTATTTTTTAGATAAAGATATTCCTTAAAAATTCAAAAATGAACAAAGACATCCCTTTATATAAAAAATTGACCAAATTACTCTTTAACCGTTTAGAAGGCTTTTTAACTTTACAATTTAATAAATTGAATCAATCTACCCTCGTGAATAATTTATGCATAAAAAAAAAGTAAAAAACAAAAAACAAAAAAACTTTATATTGTTCACTTTTTTATTTTATTTATTTTTGTTATTTACTTTATAAATGTCCTAACTTCTTATAAATGTAGAAGTCTATAATGATTTTTTAATTCAATATATATATTTCAAATAAATTATATTTTGTTATTACTTTTTTTCTTTTTTTTATTTTTAAATTAAGATGCGTAATCCTTTTATCTAAAAAAAAATTAAACCAATCTCTTTTCTTTAAAAATAAAAAATACAGTAGCAGCACAATAGTATGCATCTTAAATTATATATCAAATATTATGCATTTCTCAACATAAAAGAAAATAGGTACCATCTTAACTTTATGCATCTTAACTTTATGTATGCCTTTGTTTTTTTTTTTTTTTCTTTTGTTTTATTATTATTATTTTTTTCCCTTTTATGTTGGGAAATGCATAATATTTGATATATAATTTAATATATAATTTAAGATGTGTTGAGGATAAAATTAGCGCAATCCGATACGATACCGTTTTCCTGCAAGGAAGAGATGATAAGATCGATGAACCTTGACGACACTGATGTAGTGCCTGCCAAGTGTTCTCCGACGATCAAATTAGTCACGGAGGTCTAAAAAGAAGGCAGAGATTAATAATAGTTTTTACATCGTACCTTCTTTAATGGCTTAGTGCCCTATTTATGACTGTTGATTGGAATCAAAATCGTTCCGCCGATGTCGATGGTTGATCTTATCTTCTGCTTGTGCGAAATCATAAGAGATTTGTTGCCAGATTTGTCGGGGATATGATTTAATCCTTTTGACCTCCTCCATTATTCTTACCTGTTGAACCACGTCAGATTTCATTATCCTTGATAATGAAATCTAATTAATCTTATCGAGGGTAGGGTGGGTTTATATTTTTCCTTATCAAGATGAATAAAGTTATACTGGTACCATATTTTTTATTTTTAAAGAAAAGAGATTGGTTTAATTTTTTAAGATGAAAAAATTAAGCATCTTAATTTAAAAATAAAAAAGAAAAAGAAAATAAGTAATAATAAAATATAATTTATTGAAATATATGTATTGAATCAAAAAATCATTTTAGACGTCTACATTTTTAAAACTTTGGGATATTTATTTAAATTAAAAAAAAAAAAGTGAACAATATAAAGTTTTTTTTTTTTTTTTTTTTTACTTTCTTTTTATGCATAAATTGTTCATGAGGGTAGATTGGTCCAATTTATTAAATTGTAAAGTTAAAAAAGTCTCCTAAACAGTCAAAGGGTAATTCGGTTAATTTCTCATGTAAATGGGTGTCTTTATCCATTTTTGAAATTTCAAGGGGTGTCTTTGTCCAAAAAACAGATAAATTTCCTCTGAATGTCCTTTTACTAAACCTCATGAAGGGTGGTTGTACTTTACCTTATTTTATAATTAAAAAGAAGGGTTAATTACACTCACACCCCCTGAGGTTTGCCTTATTGACAGTCAGATGAAAGTTGACTCCTTTTTGAACAATAATCACCCCTCAGGTTTGATAAAGTTGACAAAGATACCCCTCCCACATCTAATACATAGTGAATTAACATTATTGCCCCTTGACTTGATAATTAACTTATTTTGACCTTGGAATTACATTTTTAACCTTTACTACTCATTTTATTGGACCAAACCACCCTTACCCTTACCTTCATATCACAGACGCCGCCGCCGCCACTCCACAGCTGCCGCCGCCACCCATATACATCCATCACGAAATCCCAGCTTAATCAAGTCCAAATCCACATACAACATACAAAAATAAATTCCATAGGCAATATATATATATATATATATATATATATATCCCATATTCAGAGAGAATCAGACACACACACACACATATATATATATACACAACAAATTATACCAAGTCAGAGGTCTCTGAAATTTTGGTGGAATTGGGTGCGTGTGTTTTTCTGTATATGTAGATTAGCAATTGGTGATGGTAGTGGCAGTGTGTTGTGGGGGTTTGTTTGGCTTTGACGGCATGGTTGAGTATAAATTATTTGAGTTTTTGTGTTGTGGTGGAAATGGAGAAGGGCGGTGGCAATTGACTATGCCCGGGAATAACGTCGACTACGAATCACACTGCTTACGCTGCAACCATATTGTGACGACGCCCGTAAAGAAGATGACGACGTGGGCTGGTGGTTGCGTTCTGGGTTTGTTGGGAAGAAGATGAAGGTACATAGGTGGTGCAACTCCACGCGCATTGATGGTGAGTGGGGGTGCGTGATGCCCCTTCCGGCAAAGGTTGGGCCGGAAAAAGGGTGATCCAACCCAACAGTTCCATCCCCTTCCCTTAGATGACGACGAAGTTCTGAAACCTCCGACGCCGAAATTTAACTCAATCTGAATTGACTGATCTGGCTCACATCATACACATTTGTTGCTTGTCTTCAACACAGATAAGAACGACGATTTGTTACGATTAAGGCAGCGGTTTCACAAGGTGGCCATGGCGGGAGGAGGTGGCAGTGGCCATTGTGGTGAAGGCGTATAGGAGTTTTAAGAAGTGGCGTTAGTAGTGGTGGCCGAGTTTTGGGAGGCGGTAGTGGTAGGTGAGGGTGAGGACTTGTTTGGCTGTAATTTAATACTGCTGAGGGGTATTTTGGTCATTTAAATACTCTGATATTTTAGATTAAGAATTATTATTTTATTGAAGGGCAATAGTGTCATTTTACATCTTTTTAGGGGTTGTTTGGCTGCAATTTCTGATATGGGGTGTGAGTGTTCAAAAAGAGACTAACTTTCATCTGGCTGTCAATAGTATAAACCTCAAGGGTGTGAGTGTAATTAATCCTAAAAAGAAATACATTTTGAAGGATTAAAATATTCAAAATAATAAAAAAGAAAGTACAATCAATCAATCAATCAAAGTCCTCCATTGCATAATTTAAAAATAATAATAATAATAATAAAATAAAAAATAAATAAAAAATAAAAAATATCATCGGCCTACAGAGAGTTCACAATCGATCAAGTTCATTTAAGATCGTGCGATCTCTGTCTCTAACTTTGCTTGTTTCAGATTAATATTACAAAGTTAAAAATCTTGAATGGGCACTCACCAAAAATAATTTTCTTTCCCTTGGAGATGAGCAGTTCCGGCCGACCAGATGGGGCATCCTTTTGTGGCCACTGTGGTCCACCTCAGACCATTTCTAGACTCACATCTCTTCACCTATTTGAGATGAATACACATGACTGGTATATGAGATGTGTCACAAGCTTTAGGACCACTCCAATTTTAGTGGTCATGGACAAACGTTAAGATTTTCAGGCAATGTCAATCACCAGTTCATAGATATGCATCAATGTATGCTCAATTTCACATATGTTTCCTATATATGATGAGTAGTGCCTGGACTTTGTTGCGTGAAAAAAAAAAAAAAAAAAAAAATGGCTGGCCCTAAGCTACTTGCTCTTCTCATTTCACTTAACATCATCTTTTTCGCTTGCTGCGTCTCGTGCCATAATGTCCCCTGCCCTCCTCCAAGCACCACCACTCCCTCGGCACCCTCCGTCCCTAAAACGCCAGCCAAGTGCCCGAAAGACACCCTTAAGTTTGGTGTTTGTGGTGAATGGCTGGGGCTTGTTAAAGAGATTATTGGGGCTAAACCTAGCAAACAGTGCTGTGCCCTAATTAAAGGTCTAGCTGATCTTGAAGCTGCATTGTGTTTGTGTACTGCTATTAAAGCCAATGTGTTGGGTGTCATCAAGCTCAAGATACCCATTGCCCTCAGTTTGCTTGTTAATGGATGTGGAAAGAAGGTGCCAGAGGGCTTTGTATGTGAATGAAATTTGTGCATCTATCCATGTATGATGTGGTTGTGTGTGTTCTGTGGTGGTGTTTATGTCATTAATTTGTATTGGTGTCTCATGTACCTATTGATGTTTGTTCATCAAATAAATAAAGCAATATTAATGTCTAGGAGCAGATTTTACTTCTTTAATTGAAAGTGATGTCGCTTGAGTCTAGCTCACTGAAAAATGGTCAAGTGAAAAATATGTTGTTTTCTTATTTACACATACTTCTATAGACTCTTTTGATGTTAGCCAGCAATGTGGATGGGAACGGGTATATCTCAACCGTCCGTGTAACACACGCGTGGGCGCTTGGTCAGAGTGTAGGGAAATGTAGGGCACACAAAGACTAACCCAGCCTGTGAATTACACGATAATGATAGATCAAATGCGTCAGTTGCACGGTGCAACGGGTGCAACTAAATTTCACAGAATTAACAATTCTGCCCAATTTATCACCCAAATAGACAGACAAAGTCCTCAAAAAAAAAAAAAAAAAAAAGACTTAAAACTTCAAAATATAATGAAAATAGAATAGTTATTGGCTACAATGACCACGTACACTCAATCAATATATAGAATTCCTTTAACAACGAGTCCGAAATATATACGATCAATGTAATGGTTAATATCATAATATTACAACACTAAAGCTGACTTGTTCAAGTCTAGCTGGAAAATTGAACGGATCTACCTGGTTCAAAATAGGGTAATCCTTCTAAAACTTAGGACTGAACCATTAAAAACTATATCATGATGCAAGAAATTATATGAAAACGCATAAAAATTGATCTTCCACAAGGAAAATACGTTTGTCTCATCAACAATGCGAATTTTATTGTTTCCCAAAGCGTGACATATACCATCAAAATGGAGGTTGTCATCGTTGATGAGATGTGTGAATAAACCATTCCAAAAATCAAATCAATATGGGTTTGTAATTACCCTAAACAAATCAAGAATGTAATTAAAGAAATGGGTAAAAAATAAAAAATAAAAAAATAAATGAAGAGAGAATGAGAGATAAAACACTACTATTTGCATTTGTAGTCCGGGGGGGTCTTTTTTCCGCAGAAATCCAGGATCAAGGTCATGGCGAAGGGGATGTTCATGTTGAAGCCCATGATATTGGCTTTCATGGCCATGCAAAGGCAAACAGCAGCTTCGAACTCAAACATGCCATTCATGAGTTTGCAGCAATTCATCGGCGGTTTACCGACCTCAAAGTGCATCAGATAATTCATCAAACCTCCACATACCCCGAACTTCAGTACATTCTCTGGACATGTCTTCTTCGCCTGAGGGCGTGCCCGATGGTGTTCGGAAGTTTTCGGTGACAGGAAGCCGGTAACTTTGATGGAAGTGATCAGACAGAAGAAGATAATGTTGAGAGAGAGGAGAAGCACAGTGGATGCAAGAGACTTTGAAGCCATTTCATCCAACACAGTTGTCCCTAATGCTTGTGAGCTTCATTATTCCATTTAAGTCCTATATGCATGAGTTATAAGTACTTAAATGAGTCACATGGAATGATTTTTGGTTAGTGTATAGGACAGAAAAATGCGGAGTTTGGTCCCTTTCAGATCCGATTTATTATGATGAGATGTGTCAAGACTTGCATCAATATAGAAGTTGACCAGAATGAGTAATTGTTTTAACATGGACAACAATAATGTTAGCTACCTATTTAAAATTCACTTTAAATTTTTTTCAATACTTATAGTATATCATGACTAATGAGTAATTAGGTGATGAAAATGATAATAGTAAAACAAAAAACAACAATAATAATAATAATAACTTTCAATTTTACTTTGTAATTTGGTTTCATTGCAACAAACAGCTTCTTAGACCAGACTAGCATATCATCAGGACAAATAAAGCCAATTCTACAATGTATATTCAGCAAAGAGAAGACTAGGAATTAAGGGTTAAAATCAAAGAAACAACGGCCATCCGTGAAATAAACTGAAAAATACAATCTCATCTGTGCAGAGTGGATGAAACAGAGATCTAAATCGTATGACAATTCTCTTACAACTTTCAAAAGTCTACTATTCCATCATGTCCTACTTCATGAGTTGCATCTTTTACTTTTCTGCTCCTGCAAGTTCAGGAAATATGCGCTAGTACCAAGTCATAACTTGCAATTTTAGAGGGAAAAAAAGAAACTGGAAGGTAAAACAAAAATAAGCTTACATTGTTTCGTGAATTATTTGTGGAAACGGAGCCATTCATTGAGGTTTTAAAAGGATGATAACACGGTGATGCTCAATCCGAGTCTCACTTATCCGACCAAGGTGCCGAAGGACCTGTGAATCACCACATTGCAAGGATGAACTCATAATGATTGAAGTAACTGAGCTACTTTAAACAAACATAAAAAGCTCTTGTAGTTTCTGTTTACAGACTATATCAAGGTTAAAATAATAAAAAAAATCGTATAGCATGGAACTTCTATTCTAGTTCTACCACTCTTAAGTAAGGATTCGCACAGAATCATATGAATGAGAGCTGCCTAAATAGCAATTCCCAAGAAGTGGTTTGTTTCTGAGAATTCCACTTCCCTCCAATTTTGGAGGATATAATTTTATCCATAATATATCTTCTTGTCAACCAATTAATTCCCAAAAAAAAGGAACAAAAAGAAAAAGGTGAATACTTTGTGGATCATTTAAAATAAAAAGCAATTGTTATTGTTCACGTTATGCCACACAATACTGTATTCCCTTTGGTTTTGCATGCAGTTGATTGATTTCTAATCACCTAGCTAACAAGAAAAACACTCACAGTCAGTATTGCTTTTCCAGTGTTGTCAAGCTTCAAGGTGGGCCCTTTTACATCCATTTCAAGAAAAAAGTGTTTGCCTTTTACTGCTTCTGTCATTGCAATATCTCTTAGTTGCTGCAAGTTTGATCACAATTTTGAAAATTAGTCGCACATCAACACTGAACCAATACATTTATGAACATGACGAAGCAATCAGAGCCCACAAAACCACAAGCCAAATTCTTGAAAATGGCAGGAAAATTTTCAATCTTAAATCCTAGTGCTAGAAATATAGTCTGTGTTAGCACCACCCAAGCACAATTTGGGAAGGACTAAGGTGTTGAAATCCAGAAAAATACTGGTATCTTATGGAGAAGAATTAAGCATCTGATGAAACCAGTCCTTAAAAGGAATTCCAAGACCTAGATTAAGTTCACTTACCAGGGCTCTTTCCAAGGTATCCTCTGCCAACTTCACAAATAAAGGTACCATGATCAGGACAGTAAAACAAAATTAGTAACAATTGAATAGAATGAGAGAGAGAGAGAGAGAGAGAGAGAGAGTAAAATACACCTTCTTTCTTGGGGCAGCAATAAGCTGAGCATTTGCCTCAGCATATGCTGCCATGTCATTGATAGCCGCATTGACCTTGTCTAGCGTGAGCCTTCCTCTCATGTACCTGTGATTGGCAAGAATCAGGGATAGTAAATGTACGAGATACGATCATCTAAAATGTCCTAAAACCCTCCCCTTCTTCCAAAAATAAAAAAGAAAAATAATAATAATGGAATAAGGAATATAAGGAGATAACCATGTAGCATAACTTCTTTTTTTTTTTTTTTTTTTTTTTTTTGATAAGTGACAACCATGTAGCATAACTATCCTGCAAGTAAGAAATATCTATATATACACACACACAAGTATGTGATCAAGACACTTCTTAAAGGTCAAAATGTACTCACGATGACAAGGAAGCCAGCTCATCAGCAGTAATGTGCCATAATGGTGGGGAGGCACGACCCTTTTTCTCCTGAAATTTATGAATGACAGACTACATAAAAAAGTGATCAAAGATAAATTTCCTTATTCTGTATCTTCAGCAAATCTTTATAACATCCAATATCCTGAAACAATGTCACCTAGGGACAGATATGCTTCTTTTTTTCCTCACATTGTTTTCCATGTTAAGCAAACAACTTGGTTTAATATAATCACTACGATGGTCAGTATCTTTAAACCAACAGTACAATAAAAAGGAGTCATTGTTTAGCAAGTGTGACATTGTTATCAAAAGCAACTTCCAATCCGATGGTGATAAACAAATCACTTTTTTATTATATTACAGTAAAATTTTCACATCTGGTAGATCATTTTTTGTGCAAAATGTGGTTAGTGTCAATTTGATATTTTCGGATGAGCCATTTCAGTTTTGATACATTCCCAATCTGATGTTTCCAAAAGGCAAGTTGGTATATTTTATATATCGTCAAGACTAAGTTGATCTCTAATATGTCCCGTTCCTACACAAATTTTTCCAAAATTTGGTAACTTATCTATGTTGACACTTATCTATGTTAACTTATCTACGTTGACCGAGTGTTTGACCACCACAGGGCATGTTTAGAGAATGTTGCATGGCAAAGAGCTAGAATGCCTTATGGCGCAGACACCCTTCTCGGTATTCATCTCTTCATCAGGGAGGAAGGAGTTATGCAGAAAGAATGTGAGATTGGTTTATTAACCTTAACTATTATGTGTTTGAAGTGCAAATGTGAAGTGCAAATAGAGTGCAAGAAATAAAATTTAGCTTATCCATTCAAAAGAAGTTCAAGTTGTTCCAAGTCTCACATTGATTATGAGCTGAAATTGAGAGTGTGTATTTATCTAAATCCTATGACTATCAACAAATAAACGCTAAATATAAATACAAAAACAGATATATGGTTCGATAGTTAGATTCATAAATTTGTGCACACAAACACACACACATAGAGAGAGAGTCCAATACTTTGGGTACCACCACCGACTCCTCTTCAAGCTTCATAGATCCAAAACCAAAATCTTGTTGCAAGGTTTCTGGCAGCAAACTGAAACCAATAAATAATAAATAAATAAATTCAATAAAACTAAATAAATGGGGAAAAAAAAAAAAATGGAGAATTAGCTCTGCATATCTACCCTAAGAAAATGATATTAAAACAATCCAAATATGGAGCAAATAATTAAAATTACCGTTTACTATGATCCTGATTTATGACCGCCACTCTTTCAGGCAAATGCAAGGGAACATAAACCGACATACTCTCCAATTTCTTCTGCTGCCGCAACGAAGCCTCAATGAGTTTCTACAATCAGAACAAGAAAACCAATTCAGTTTTAATCACAGCTTTTAATTTCACTAATTAAAGATATAGTATTGACCAATATCCAAATTTGTCTCACTTTATAAAATTACAACCATCAACCCGAAATTTTCAACTTCTTCTTTTTCCCAATTATTCAGAAACTATAATTAATTACTTAATCTTTTCGCCAAATCAACAAATATTTAAAAAAAAAAAAAAAAAAAAAAAAAAAAAAAAAAAAAAGAAGAAGAAATCATTAGAATTCCTGAATCAAATGCCAAACATTGCCATCCAAAAAAACCCTAATTAAAATTAGGGCACTTAATTGTAAGTAATACAGAAGAAAATAGTGAAGAATGAGTGAAGGGAATGGTACTTTAGCTTTGGGGATAGCTTCGGTCTCTTCTCGCAATCGGTCTTTGATCTGCTGTACCTGAAGCTCCATGGCCTTCAGTGTGTCATCGACGGCCGACAAATCGGTGACGCTGCTCGCAGCGTACACTGTAAAAACAACGATTGGAGATATGCGAGTTTGTTTCGATGGAATTTGAAGATGAATGAGAGAATGCGAAGGTTATGAGACTTACTGTTTCGAGCGATGACGAGTTCTTGAAGTTCTGCTATGCGTGTGTTGAATGAAGAGATCAGAGAGTCGAGTGAAGAGCCTGCTTCTTTCACATCCATCTCTACTTTCTCTCACTAGCTTCTTCTTCTCTGTAATTGTCTGAGTCAGGTTTTGGAGAAATCGGAAGTGAGCAGAGTTGAAATTTGAATCCCTAAAACCCCAAATGTCGTATTGGCGGGAAAGCATGACAATGGAAGATATTGCCAGTCCACATACCACGTCATTTGGTTACCAACTTACCAATAATATGCATCAGTAATTATTACACATTTCCAAGACCTTGGTTCCAAGCCAATCAAATGTGTAAATAATACTGTATATTTTACCTTTATAAAAAGTGTGTGAATAATATAAGTTTTATTCGGATTTTTGTAATCATTGATCCCAATCAATAGCTATTTCACACGAATCACACGGAAACAAAAAATTGAGGGCCCGTTTACTAACGCTTTCACTTTCTTATTTTTACTTTCTTCAAAAATAAAATCATAATTTTTATTCCTAAAGTTGAAATATAAAGTAAAATTATGTTTATTAATTTGTTATGCTTTTAATATTTTTAAAGTAAAAAATTAGGAAGCAAGTTTAATAATTATAATTATAATTTTACTTTTTTATTATATATATATATATATATATATATATATATATATATATCATCATCATCATCATCATTGCTGTATTGATCAAGACCGACCCATTCTTGATCGGCAAGTTGAAGAGAAGGAAAAGCTGTAAATTCGCTTCCAAGAGAAGAAAGAAGAAAGTTCGATGACAGCGTTGCCAAGAAATCGTTGTTCCCGCGAGACTTTCACTGCCGCCAGCTCCGGTGGAATAGGGGCAAGGCGCATCGGATCTCAGGGAAGGGGGCAAGCTCTAGCCGAGGTAGGGGATACATCATATCCATACGAACGTTCTTTTTTCAATTCTCTATATTCCTCTCAATTCTAGAAACTTGAAAGTTCATGAAGAATTGTTTTTCAATCCTAAGGTTCCACAAATTAAGCGTCTTCATTCTGGACTGAACCAGCAACAACCCTTCCTCATAGCCGCAAATCACCCTTGCGACGAATCCTCTCTGCACCTCCCACAGCGTTTCCAACATTATTGAGTTGGTGGTTTCAGTATCCACCACCACAAAGTGGTCGTTCTCGGAAATTACGATCTTCTGCGAATGGAGCTTTCTGTTCACCTCCGATCTGAGAAACCTCTGGGCAAATTCTCCACTACAGATCAGCGCACACCATCACTATCCTGATCTTCTTCTTCCTTTTCCTCAAAAGTGTGTTTCAATTAAGACTAAATCCAAATAAATATGTCAACAAAGGGAGGAGGTGGGTGGAGGTGATGGCGGCAGCGATAGGCCGGTAGCCATGGTCGAGGGAGGCAACGTGGAGATTGGTGATAATAATTTTTAAGTTTTTTTTTTTTTGGAAAATAAAGCTACAGTAGAGAAAATACTTCTCATAAACAGTGCAGAAAGTAGAGAAAGTAACAAATCTTCACTTTCTCTTTCCTTCATTAAATCTGAAAGTACTTTCTAATAGGTAAAAAGTAAAAATATATTACTAAACATAATTTTCACTTTTACTTCACAATTTTAGGAATTGACAGTAAAAATCAGAAAGTAAAAGTGTTACTAAACAGGCCCTGAAAAAGCTAATATCTTTCGGACACAATTGTTTATATGTTAAATACTGATTCGTCAGGAGCATTAAATAACTTCTCTGGACTAATAACAACTTTTCTGTATAAGTTGCACCAGCTCAATTAAACAGTTTTTATGTATAGATGATATCAATTTGATTAAATTTTGCATGTTCATTGGTTAGGCGTATCATTGGCATTGCATACCAGGTTCACTCAACATCGACTCGATAATGAGAGTAAAATTTATCTGTCCAAATAAATAAATAAATAAGTTGTTTGGTCTATTGGTCATCGCCATCATTGAAGCTCACCCAATCTTGCTGTCAACAGGTGACATATATATATGTATATATATTGTGTTGGAACCAAAATATTGAAAACGGTGAGTATCGAAGCTTAGAGGTGTGTAATCGCTTCTTGAAAATAGTTGAAGTCTCTTCCACGTGCAATGGAAGACAAATGGCAGCACTATCTCCGGGATTCAACTAAGCCCAGATATCAAAACTGTATGTTCATGAAGGTTGCACTTCTTCTACATAAACCTATGCATTTATCTCCGTCCGATCAACAGAAAATATGAAACTCACACACTCAAAATCAATAATTTGAAAACACCTTTTCAAATCCTTTTTTATATATCTAACTAGTTTATAGAGTGTGTATCGTAGGCTTCATATGTCATATTATTTATACTAATATATTTAGAAGACATTAATTAAGTATTTTATGTAACTTTAAACTTAACTCATAAATAACATATTAATATAGTAAATTAAATGCATCAGGTGAAGAACTTAAAGTTTAAAGTTTAAAGTTTATAATATCTGTAATATCAATATTTTGTCTTCATAAATACAGAGTTACTATATTAATTTGAAATATAACTCCAACAATCCCCCACTTGTTTCAAATTCATTTTGTTGATCGATACAGTCATGTGCATCAATAATGGTGTCTTTTGGACTTGAACCATTACCTAGTGTAAGCACCCTTGATTTCATCTAGGAACTTAGTGAACGATGTCTTGAACTAAGAACCATGTTGATGAATAAGAAATACTACATGCACACTTCTGTTCGGAGATAAAGTACTAAAGCTCGACACGTTTCGGCCATGTGTCCGAAATCTATACTTCTGAGTGTCGTTAAGGATCAAGCCTGTCTGGATCCTATAGAAGCGGCCCTACTTCCACACTCAGATAGGTGTGTCCATCAAGAGTGACCTTACACACTCCAACCGAATACCAGTTATGGACTCATTGAGAGAATTTAATCTCATCATCCTCATTGCAAGATAAGTCGGTGAATCTATCAAGAGTGGTTGTGTACATCCTAATCGGAAATCCGATCTATAGAATTCATTAAGAGACTCATGTCTTAACCTCCTCATTGATTATACGGTGAATCTATCAAGAGTGATCATGTACACTTCAATTGAAAATTGATCTACAGATTCATTAAGAGATCTAAAATCTTAACCTCCTCAGTTACAAGATTGAGCACCCACATCACATCATAAGGAAAGGAACATTAATGTGCTCACACAAGTTATTATGTTACTTGTTTTTCCCATTGAACCCAGGAGAAATATCACTGGGTTGGGTTCCCATAACATCATAACATCGATTACAGGCTCTTTCCAATCTCTTTAGATATCTTGGACACAAGGTCCCTTCACATGTCGTTCAATAGTGGATATGCCAAATGAGATATGGCTTTAGACATTAAGTCATTTCACATGTCTTTCGACATTAGATATGCCAAATTAGATTCGGCCTTGGACACTAGGTCCATTCACATGTCTTTCGACAGTGGATCTGCCAAATGAGATTTGGCCTTGGGCACTGAGTCCCTTCACATGTCTTTCGATAGTGGATCTGCCAAATTAGATTTGGCCTTCACACAGTAAATTATGATAATCCATTTACCAGGATCTCTTCCAGATGATTGTGCTTCAACTACACATGTATAGACTTTTCATTGTAACACTCGTTATGAGCTTGAAGCATCGCAACCTTATTGTCATGAAAATATTTCAAGAGCGGTATAGGCTTACTTCGTATTGGAATAATACTCTCCAGTAAGATTCTTACCCAGTCAACTTCCTCTCCAGCAAAGAAAGTGCAATAACATTCAGATTCCATCGAGGAATAAGTTATACAAGTCCACTCTTTTGATTTCAATAAATCATAACTCTGCCCACGGTGAAGATCCAAGTTGGTACGAACTTTAAGCATCCATAGCAAAAACAACTAGGTATTTGCAATAATCCAACCCATGATCCATAGTACACTGCAAGTACCTCTATATTCTCATAAGAGAAATTCAATGATCTCTTCCCAGATTATTTCTGTACTTGATAACAAGTTGTATTTACCCTGGTGCAATTCATTGGATCATAATGACCACCAATAATTTGAGAATTCAAGTTGATTCAGTGCACTACCTTGATTGCAAATTGACTCTGATCTAGGATCAATAAGAACAAAGACTGTAGCATCTGATAAGATTTTGAACCTTTTAAGATTAATTGATAAAATTGGATTGCGTGAGAGTAAATCCATATTGAGGCCCCACATTTTGATTTACACAATCACACTAGCTTCCCTAAGATCCATCATGTCAAAAGTTCAAATTAAGAACTAATACGCAAATAATAATTGCTAGAATTCCCTTGGAATCTCCTTTCATCAATATGAAATTCAGCTGCAATCATTGCTTTCCTAAACTTTCATTCCTCTATTTAGGAGCTTTCAAAAATGAGTTTTTAAGAATAAAAATTAGTATCATCAATAAAATGATAACATATCACTTTCTTTCATGAAAATAATTAGCTCATTTCAAACATGTCAATATGGATCAAATTTTCAGTATTAGTGTCTTTTCAACACATCAATAAAAGTTTACATGCTACATGTAATGCTTTGATCCACATGAACCTTACCAATGGTTATCCTTTGATTAATGAATTTAAACTCATGTAATCAAATATATGACATGCCATAAATTAAGAAATTTATAGTAACCAAAAATCAGTTTTATAACTGGAAAGCATACCGTTAATCGACAATCATACCAATTTTGGATGAAAAATTGATGAATTTAGAACTCACCTCGAAGCCATTATTTACAAATCTAAAGACATCTTTCAGATGCATCACTTACCAGAAATTATGCTTATGCATGTCACTTTAGAAGTTGAAGAGTTCTCCTCTTATATTATCATCTGATCCCCCTCACAAGTCATAGATCTTGCATGATTTTAACTAATTGTAATGTGCAGAGATTATCTAGTTTCAATCAACTGATGGCATGCGTCCCGAAAGGTAATAAACTTCTTTTGTGATCTTCTCTTTCATCACAAAATATGATATAATCATACGAAAAGTGACCTACTAGAGCTTTTAAAATTCAAGGAATAAACATAAGTATATTCAAAATGAGCATCAATAATGTGACCGATGGGGATTAGTTCAAAGGTACCATATTTCTTTCAACATCTATGA